GTGTATCAAGAACCATGTAAATGCCGCACGCAAGTTAGAATACAACAATACTCTGTAAATCCGCTTCGATAAGAATTGGAACAGAAATTGGTGAACACAATCACCAGTGTGATTGAAGAAGCCGGCATCAACGAAGGGGGTGCTCAATAGCACATAGACTAGATTTAAAGCTTTCATGAATGCAGGAATTAATATTCTTGGGTCTTTCGGTAAAGTCGCGTAGATAGGTTCAAAGAAAAACAACAAAAACTACGACGTTTCGATCACAACACAAGCGGTCGTCTTCAGGAAAAGGGGGTTAGCTTCCAAGGCAAACTGTTAATAAGGAGTTTGAAATTGGCATAGCCCAAATGTCAGCAGCCAATGATAATGCAAGTGGTGGGCAGCCCAACCCGACGGTGGTTGGTTTTCCACCAATCAAAGGGCTGGCAGGTGAAAATGAGCATGTTAATGAGAGATTAGCATGTTAATGGCAGATCGCAGAGCCGCACGCCGACCCGTGCGTCGCGGCTCTGCAATCTACTAATTTAACTAGTGCAGGATCATACTTGGATATCTACAGCTGAAAAACACCGATCATTTTTCTGATGATGTTCTAGATTGCCTACCTAAATAGATAAATATTTGCAGTATTAATAATGGAACAACTTCAAACGACATGGTGTAAATTGAGATCATAAAGACAATTAGAGCCAGATTTTGAAAACCAAATAAATATTTGACCAATTTTTCTTCATGTTTATGCATAAATAAAATACTTTTATCCTGGAATGTTTTGTCAGTTCTTAAATTCACACGTGGAGGCAAAATTGATTCGTGAGTTAAAACCCATTCGCCTTCTTTCACATGTACATTTAAACTTTTTGAACCATGGCCCTTCTATCCACAATGCCAAATATCAGCAGAGTCGTGCTGACCCGTGATCCTTCCCACTTTTCCCCCCCGAGAATTTGAAAATTGAAGGCAGAGTGTGGAAGGGGGCCTGGGACGGATTCCAAACCCACCCTATTGTCTATAGCATTTACAGATTTCAGTATGGACACAGACCATGAGGTGCTGCATTCATCCTATTATCAGTAATAATTCATAAAGACTCATGATGATGATATACAGTGAGGGAAAAAAGTATTTGATCCCCTGCTGATTTTGTACGTTTGCCCACTGACAAAGAAATGATCAGTCTATAATTTTAATGGTAGGTTTATTTGAAAAGTGAGAGACAGAATAACAACAACAAAATCCAGAAAAATGCATGTCAAAAATGTTATAAATTGATTTGCATTTTAATGAGGGAAATAAGTATTTGACCCCTCTGCAAAACATGACTTAGTACTTGGTGGCAAAACCCTTGTTGGCAATCACATAGGTCAGACGTTTCTTGTAGTTGGCCACCAGGTTTACACACATCTCAGGAGGAATTTTGTCCCACTCCTCTTTGCAGATCTTCTCCAAGTCATTAAGGTTTCGAGTCTGACGTTTGGCAACTCGAACCTTCAGCTCCCTTCACAGATTTTCTATGGGATTAAGGTCTGGAGACTGGCTAGGCTTTTGAATAACATCTCCCCACTCTCATCTACCTTCCACCTCACTTATCCTGCACTCGGTAGCTCTGCTCTCAGCGACTCCGCACACAGCGTCTTCGCACACATAAACTCCACATCTCCACCGCTGCCCTCACCTTCGCTCGCTCAGACCCGCTCACCCGTCTGTCCCGGGCGGGGGGATCAACAAACACCCGCCCGGCGACGGCATGAGGGTTGAGGTTCCATTGACGGCTGGAGCGGCAGCGGCGAGATGACTTCACTCTTCGACCCCGGCAACATCTTCCTCTACGCTCACACACACCGCCTTATATCCCTCTGCTAATTATCCGAGACCTATCGTGCGTCACTTTAAGCTCTCGCCAGGCCGGCGCCTGTCGGCCCATCAATCAACCCTTATCTCCCGTCACCCTTGCAACACCTCCGGTCTCAACGTGCACAAACGGTCGACCCCGTTTGCACCTGCTTCGCCCCTTAACAACTGGCGGTTTGTCCGTGCAAACCTCATGTTGCACACGCGCACCTGTTTGCCCTCAGTGGCCCTCGGTTAACTGTGCGCACCGTGTATTTCACTCCTCTACACTAGCATAGAAGACGCTGAAGATGGTGAGTGATTATGAAGCGAATGATTGAAGAAAATGAAATGTTTGACAGCAATGAAAATTTCATTTTTACCGCTGTAGCCGCGATGGGTCATACGCTCGTATCCAAAGTTCTCATAATAATAACTTGGCTCGATTTAAGGCACCTATTAACGCGTACCTATTACACCTTCAGAAGGGATGTTTGTTGCTGGCCTTTTGGGCCTCTGTTCAGCAACCCTTATTTAAAGAAATCCTGTTATAGTTACGAATAATACCATAATAGAGATTTTTTGGGGGTTAGATCTCGTAAGTATAAATGTGTCGTTATACCCACCACCACCCGACACAGCCAATTAGTAAGGTTTGTCACGGAAACAAAACAGCCTCATCAGGCGTTAGCTAGAATAATACCATACTGTGCGCATGGCAGACTGGTCATGTTATCCTTCATTATCATGAATAATATTCGCACGTTGATTTTGTTTTCACAGATTTTGGGATTGAAACTCAGTAGGGGGCAGCACTTTCTCACCCACTCTGACATATAGAGTAATTTATTTTTTCAGAGCTGGAATTTTGGCCAAATTGAGTACAGGACCAATTGAATGTGATGATGTGTGTGTTTGTGTGTAGTCGTTAGTGACTGGGCTGAGAACATCAACTCACCACACTTGAGAATCAAGGTTAAGCACAGAGCTAAGGCTCTTTCTCAGCAGTGCAAACTCGGGGCTCTGACCTCTGAGCCACATGGCCACTTCATACGCTTAACTACCTCGCATTAGTATACAGGAGGTTGTGAGTTCGATCCCAACCCTGACTCCTGAATATTTTTGGAGTTTGCATGTTTTCCCTGTGTTCGTGTGTATTTTTCTCGGGGTCAACATGCGTTTAGAGTATTTGGCTGCTACACATTTACCACGCGATAAGCCACTTCGTTGGGCTATCATTTGTGGCAAGTTGCCTTCTGAAACAGAGCTATATAGCTCAAGTGGGCCTTACCTGGTAAAAGAAAAATATTATAGTTTTAAGCACTTGACTTTACCGCTGCATCACAGAGTATCCTCACCACCTAATCTTAGATTTTAAAAAACGCTGACATACATTTAGGAAATGTTTCTACAAATGTTCCAGAGTTGTAATCTGCCACCAAACAACCAGACGTTTTCTCATTGAGCCACCACACACTCGGCCAAGCTTAAATAATGTGCTGGCTGATTGAAAATTATATTTCAGGTTGGCCAAATGCCCAACCTCATGACCAGCAGATGTGTGGCTTCCTGGTGGCCCAGTCTGATGCTAACAGCTATCCTGAACTGGTCCTTATCCTGTGTTGTAATAGTGTCTGTTATTTCCGAATCTATTAAATGTGATGAACAACTTAATATTACCACTCCTTATGTAAGCATCTTCGATCTCTTATTATGAACAGGACTATTTTAATCTTTATTTCTGACCACTCTTCCTTCAACTTAATTTAAATAATCTCTTTCTGCCAGTCACTTGGTACTTCAGCTGCTGCTCTCTCCACGGCAGCAGCTGTTTGTAAGTCTTGCCATGTGGCTCAAGTGCAACTATATATTTTTTATATGCGAATTAACTCTACGTCCTAAATTTATTTAATGGAATATTTTTGTAACTCTTTAAATTAAATGAGTGTTGTAAAATATGGTTTATAAGAGCATGATGCTATTTGGGCTATGTACGATGCGAGAGAAGTTCAACATGCATACAATTACAAATTTAAAAGTGAATAAAGTTCACATCTATATACATAATTCGACATTTCCCAGAATACAGCCAAATATGCAAAAGTAAACCAGTTAAGTGGCAGCGATATTGCCCTAAAGCACGTAGTCTCGTTACAACAATTAGTGAAACATGCATACTTTGCTTATGGGGTTACTGTCACTGTATAAGGGTTGTTACGCTGGACTTGCAATCCAGAGGTCTCCAGTTTGATCTCCCGGCGTGGCGATTGAAACAATGGTGCATGTTTATTAAATCCACACCCCCGCCCCTGTCCACCCAACATCAGTGTACACGGGGTGCACCAATCAGTCAATCATCAGGCGGTGAGATAAAGTGTCGCTACTCCCACCTCTTTAAAGGCATCTGGGCAGCATGGAAGTCAAAACCTCTCCAGAGGAGCTCTCCAGAGCTTCCTCTCGTGGAGGCCATTCTGACAGAAGTGACGTGAGCAGGCAATTTCAGGGCTGAACCTCGAAAGCGTTTGCCCACCTAATTTACTTATTTACTATTTTTTTCCGGTAAAGTCACGTAGGTAAAAAAAAATAAAAGAAAAAGAAATGAAAAAAAACAGCTAAATTAAATCACGACGTTTCGGGCGCAACACAAGCGTCCTTCTTCAGGTGAGGACAACGTAGCGAAAGCACAAACGCTTCAGTGTGTCTCAGAGATGGCTGGGACGAGGGATTATATAGAAGTCGCGGGGCATGGAGGGAGGGGGGCATGGTGAGTGTGGGGGCTGGGTGTGGGCTGGGAGGAGAAGTTGCGAAACCGATGGTGCACTGGGAGGCAACTGGTGGAGCCGAGACTGAGGCTTTGTGATGTAGATGGCGGAAGTAGATAAGCCAGCTAGGATTAAGCTGCATTTTGTTATGCTGCCGGGTGGGTAAGTTAGCAATGCGCAGGCTAACTCCGTATGGAGTTGAAACTAAAACAACGTGTGGTACACACTATCATGGCGATGGTAGTGTGTGAAACTGGGGGTAACAGACTGGGAATATGGATATGTTCATGAAAATAAATCTAAACCGGCTGTCTAGCAGTAAACTGCCCGGTAGCTAAAGTTTACTGTTACCCGTGTGCATTTTTCTTTACTCAAAACACACTCGTGTATGTTGTTGTCCTTCAGGTTCAAAATGCATTTAAGTTTCGTATCACGGGTCGCCTTGATCCAAGTGAAGCTTGCGGCTACTTCCCCAATGGGCAAGCTCAAATTATGGTAAGGGACAAGGTATTAACATATATTGTAAGGTAACAAATTCAAATTCGATATGCAGCTCCAATGACAGGTCTCAAAACAATATAGGTGTTAGGGCGTGTTCGATTAACCAAATGATAATGGTTGTCACAAATCATATGCATGAATCACGTACTATGGTGGGGTGAAAAACGAAACCACGTGAGCATTCTACATTGTCGTTCCATGTAGAGGGCAATATATACGGCAGAACTTAGCACTGGCGGTGGGACATATGTGGCATGGAATGTGTCACATCGGGAAAACAAGGGAATCTATGGCAGTGAAGTGTTGTAACATCAGAGGCACATGAAGGGTTCAGATCCTCTCCTCTGCTACGGTGTCCAAGAGCAATGCCACGACAAAGTCTGTATTGGCCCATAGACATATAACTGCCTACCAGTGGTGAGAGTCTCCCTTATATGGGAAATGCTGAGTCACAATCACAATTGTGACGTCCGCCGCACATCGTGAACGTTACAGTTTAGCCAGAGTTTTTGTTGTGAAATTATAAACTGAAAGTTTGTAGTATTAGCAAGCAGCTGTCCGCATTAAGCCAGGTTCTCAGATGTAGTCAAGCTGATTACCTCTCCGACCCAGTCATAAACTACTGCACAAAATAAATGATCATGTTAAATTGGGCTTTACACTCATTTTGGCTAAACTCCAGCTCTGAGAAGTAAACTATTGGTTTGGCGTGGAAATGTGATGAACGCTTCTCTCTGTAGCAGGGTGGGTGAAAAGGTGCGACCCTCTCCTGTGTGAATAAAAGCTTATTTGAGTTCTCAGAAGCAGCTCTGCGATATCCCTTTCTGTAAACCACTCTCTGGAAGAAACGATATTTTTTTCTGAATGAGTTCTCACCTAGTTGAAATTAAAGCACTCTATCTGGAAACCATCACTTGTACAGCAGCGCTGATTGTAATCACAGTGTTATTATCGAAGAATATTCATCTTACTTAAGGTTATAGCCAACTGGGATTTTCAACATATATGGCTTCGTAGTAACAGAAAACATTACATCTAAGGTGCATGCTGTAGCTACATGGGTTTGCGTCACAATTTTTTTGTTACATGGCCTCACTGGAGCACACAATTTGGCTCGCTTCGCTACCTCTACGAGGATTCCCCTGGCAGCTCTTTCTCCCTGTCTCTCCGTCCCTCACTCTCAGCTGCCCGGAGATGGAGTGCCAGCAGGCATCGCCCTAGATCCATTGTCCTTTTGAATATCGCAGCTTTCCCCACTCCTAACCTGTCTCCTGGGGAAGCTGCCTGTGTCTCAGAGAGTATCACTACACCGGTGGCTTTCCAGCTTTTTAAAGCTAATTTTTTTTTATTATGTTAGAGCCATATTTTAGATTACAGAGGGAAGGGATCTTACACCCCACAGCATTGCGAAATGTGAAGGAAAATGGGTTAAAGGTAAATGCCACCGAAAGTATTGAAATCGTTTTAAGGTAACAATGTTTGTGACGGTTGAGGTTGGAGGAGCCTTACATAACGTAATAAGATTTTCGAACAGGAATGCATGCCTTGTCGAGACCTATGGAAACCAGCTGGTGGGGTGGGTTAGGCCTGCATCAGGGGAAACGATGCCATGTTGTTGAACGATGTCTAAATTAACAGCGACCGAATGTTTAGATTTCTAACACGTCGTTCATAATGAAGGTGGCGAAGGTTTTTATTTCATACGTGTGATATATGTGTTGCTTATGAAGTTGTGCTATTTAAAATGGTAGACCTTTTAAAATATTGAATTGTATTTATCGTAATCGGTATTCACCTTAACTCTTTGTAGTTAGGCTTTAATGTAATTTATATACTCTTTGGGTCTTTCGGTAATTTACATGTCATCACTTGAGTGCTTATTTAAGGAATGGCTATAAATATTAGTTTTAGTGTTTTTGAATAATATTGTTAAAGCAGGTAACATTTAATTTTAATGTTTTAACCTATTCTTACATGAGGTTTTATTGCCAGAAAGGGTAAAACGTAATCTTATATTTTGATACTGGCAAGGGAGGTCCCATGATTGTAAATTCATGTTTGTGTTACAGACGGAGTTTGAAAAAGACATCGACCTCACGTGTCAATCAGGTAACAAACACAAAGACCCCTCTGTATAGCCTTAACAGACTGTAGGGGCAAGTGCTGTTAGTGAGCACCTATGAAGGCCGGCACGGTACACGAGGGGGTGGGTGGCCAGCACCACGCCTGGCCGCCTTTGTCTCCCCAGCGGTGATGGTTACACTCCACACGAGGTACTCATTTGAGGCTGACTCGACCTTTGGTAACACAATCACAAACGAATATGGAATGATCGGTCCACGTCTGCAGCTCAGAGTAAAGTAGCACTGAGCCATATTCAGTCAAAACTAATGTTGATTTTTTTTTTACTTAATTCTACGCTGCTTTTTTTTTAAGTCCTAGCCAACTTTTGTTACAGGAAATGTATTGAATGTACTATTTATTTATGTTAGTGCACTGTTTTATTTACTTTATTTATTTTGCAATGTGGTTGTTTTTGCACTGTTTTCCATTCGGTTATTTTTCTCTTTAATTTCTACTCGGGGAGGTTCCCGTCATTGAGCGAAGCCACCCCCCCATCCCCCCACGCCTGGGTGCCCCCCACTTGGGTGCCCCCCACTTGGGTGCCCCCCACTTGTGTGCCCCCGCCCCTCTCGTATGACGACCTCCAGCCCCTCCCCCAGCCACAGCCTCCACCCAGATACCCCCCACCCCACCGCGTGCCCCCTACCCTAGCCACCCCCACCCGTAGCCATCAAGATATGAAATTATCACCACGATAAACTGATAACGCTTCGTTTAAAATTCGTGGGGCTATGAGGTAAATAAGAGCAAAACCAAAAGTTACGTTCAGGGTTTTGCTGGAAGGTCACAACTTGGCAAACACACCTGTGGATGTCGATATCTATCTCATGGACTTATTGAAGGTGGACTTGGAACAAAATTGTAACAACAACAAAATAGGCAAATAAGAGTGCGGTGGAGTGTTTTGGAAAATTGAATTTGAAAAGGAAAAGATATCCACAAATCTAGAATAGATATCCACTGGTTTCATAATAAAGGTTTTTGGGTTAGATCACGTTATTTATAAATGTGTTGAAACCCTCCACCACCCGACACGGCGAATCGGCAAAATAAAGTGTCACATTGACAAAAGACAATTAGTTCGCTACTTTAGCCCACCGGTGTGTTGAAGAGTGAATCCACAACATTGACCGAGAGCAAGTGAGGGCTTTACCATGGCGAATTGCCCGATGATGCTGGATGTAATTACCAGCGAAACGTCGTATTCAAACTGTCAATGTTGTGGATTCACTCTTCAGCACACCGGTGGGCTAAAGTAGTGAACTATTTGTCTTTTGTCAACGTGACACTTTATTTTGCTGATTGGCCGTGTCGGGTGGTGGAGGGTTTCGACACATTTATAAATAATGCAATCTAACCCAAAAACCTTTATTATAAATAATATTGGTCGCGAAAGCCTTCGTGTTAAACTGACCCACTGGTTTATTTCGAGAGGGAATGTTTCCTTAAGTGCATATTGTTGATTGCTTTGTAGTAGATCAGCTGACATAAATGGAGCAAAACCTCATAAACAGACAAATAATTTGCATGAAGAGATGAAAGATTATATTCCCACTGAGAAGCAGGAGAAAGAGAACCCTGTGGAGTAGAAACCAAATGCACATTTCAGACATCGTATGAACCGGTCAGAAAAGTAAGTTGGCTCAGATGAAACACACCGGTGGAAGGGGGCAGACGGGGGGGATGATGACTGATGCATGAGATTGGTGACCACGATGGAGATGGAGTGATGGGATTATCTCATGTGCAGGAGCGGAATGGATTGAGAGGTACAGATCATGAGCAAAGGTGACCGTGTGGATTGATCCTTGGCTGTTGGTGATGATGATCACGATGATGGTATTAATACCGAGAACGTAATTCCTTAAAAATAACTTTACTATGTTATCTTTCCTACATTTGACATATATCCTCATCTGTTTACATATTATTGCAATATTCACCCTATATCTGTTTAATATTTATCTAACTGAATAATAATAGACGTAAATTATAAAACACATTTTGCAAATCAAAATTGTAATTGTGCTATGATCATTATATAAATAATACTGGTCTACAATTTTTGAGACGTCGTCCGCTTCAGAGATTAAATGTGCTGCTTATTATGGATTTTGATGTGCTGAATTAAAATATGACAATTAAAACAACTGATTGACTACTGTTCCGAAGATATTTAAGTTTTTACATTTTACGTCTATGTATCTTGTGTACATTGTAGAGTTTTACTCATAAATTGTAAACCAAGGTCTTTTAATGTGTTTATGGTTGCTTTACATAATAACATGTCACCTGTCCTGTTCATGTAACACTTTAAAAATAAGCGAAAGGGTTATATACATAAAATGTATTACGAAACAAAAGGCAAAAAACTATTATGTTAGTATAAGTACATAGTTTAGTCCTTATTCAGTGTCTCCTCGGTGCTTCTTGGCTTGTCTCTTGTATTCATTAAATTGAGCATCTCTTTTCACTGCCCAGCAATAGTCTGTAAGCATTGATGGCCTCCATTTGCCCTGATAGCGTTTCTCCATTGTTGCAATGTCCTGGGTGAAATCACTCGCCATGCCCGTCGCTCACTGCTCCGCAGTTCGGTGGGAAAAAATCTATATGAGGGTGGGAAAAAATCTCGATGAGAGTGCAAAAAAATTATCTTTAGTGACATGTTGCAATCAAGGCTTTTGTATGCCTTGAGGAGGTTTTCCAACAACTCCCTGCAGTTGTCTGCCTTGTTGTTTCCGAGAAAATTTGTTGACACTAACTGGAAGGCTCTCCATGCCGTCTTTTCCTTGCCAAGCAGTGCACTGTCAAATTCATCATCTCGAAGAAGTTCACACATCTGAGGACCAACAAAGACACCTTCCTTTATCTTAGCTTTACTTGTGCAGAAGTTATCTGCTTTGTTCGCACAAGTAAGAGGCATCTCTGTTCACTTTGGCTAAACAGAAATGTGTCCCTTTGCAGAATCAAACACTGACACATAAGAGAGCACGACACTACTTTCTCGAGCTGATATAAGGACATTTGTTCAGCAGAGGGATGTAAGCCTAGTAACGATTGCATCATCAATGACTTCTAGGAATAACATGATGCAATTCATATAATGTATGATGCAATACCAGGTTCAGATTGCATCATTCATTGTTTTGCCCAAAAAGCAAGTACTGTCCAAACCCAGTCATAGATGTATTAATAGATCTAGTCAAAGATGTATATTTAGTCATTTCTGGTTTAAATTGAGATCCTTTCCATTTATAACTCACTTATCCTCCGCCATTCCCAAGTCAAGGGTCGTATATACTGACCCAGTAGCATTTCTTGAAGACTAGAGCCAATCAACAATTTTAAGCATCGTTTTCATTCTCAGTGACCGAGAATAAGTAAAGTTGGACTACATTTATTGCGGAAGCATTTTGGCTGTAGAGCAGTGTAATCTTGCTGAGCTGACTTGTGCTTAAGGAAATTTATTATTATTGATTTGAATACAATCCTTAAGTGTGTTGATGAGAATCCAGTCACTTTCAACTCAAAGGAAACCAAATTAATGTTTATGTCACTGAAGGTTATCAAAATCACATTTCCTCCGGTCGTGTTTAACGATATAAATCGTATGTTTCATTAATTCATCAGTCTGCTTGGCACGGCCATTTAATCAGACTTGCTATGTACATATATATGTTGAACTTCTTTCGTACCTTACATAGCCAACTGTGCTCATCGGAGGTGCAGGGGAAAGGGCAACGTGCAATGGCTACTTAACAAACCTTGATGAAGGAGCATCGATAAAGCTTGGTTTTATCTTTTTCTTTTATGCCAAAGCTTTCTTCACCTCTGAGTCATGGCTGCTGTATGAAGCGCAAGTCTGTCAGAGTTTGGTACACGAGGCTATCCGTTGTGACCTCATGCACACCCCCGGCTCCGCAGGGTTAATCACCGTACTCACATCGCAGACAGCTCGCGAGCACCTCAACATTGCTCACAGGCGATAGTCCCCGATTTGCCGTCTCCAGTCGCGGTAATCGGGGAAACAACTCACGTGTCCAAAAACTTGACAGCCCTTGCTGGGATGGAGCTTCCTGCTCCTGCCTGACTCTGCTTGACAGAAAGTGAAACGGTTCAGCCTATCGATTCTCCCACACCCAACTGCTTCACTGCAGTCACTCTCTCACCAGAGTTCAGGGCTCTTCCGTATCCCTCTTTTATTACCGCACCACAGGCAATGTCAGTGTCCTTGTGAATGCTGTCATTCCTCTGCCATTCCCAAGGACTCATTCTACGAGATTGACTTCCCTCTCATCATAAATTGTGTTCAATAATCCTTCTGTGGGATGTGGCATTTCTCTTATTTTTTCCTAATAGGTGACTTTGGTTACTCCATCTCATTGTCTACTTTTTTGAAGGTCCGATGACATTTCCCACTAATAATGAACAAAAACCCCATCGTAATTATTATCTGCTGTACAATTATCAGTGCTCTTATTGGGATGCCGGTTTGCATTACGGTATTGTCATTTTGAGTGTGATTTACAAAGATTAATGTGACCATTAAATGTAGATTGAGATGAGTATTGAAATTAATGTGGCACTCTAAATCGATAAAGAGGTGTATGGCAACTTTGTGACAGCGCTGGTTGGTGGATGCTGGAGAGATTATTATTCGCATGGTATTTAATGATATTCAAAACAATTATGCAAACTCACTACAAAATCAGGAATAGCATTTTGAAGTGAAGTTATTTTGTTAAGTCTGCCTGTGACATTATGGCCGCAATTTGGTTGGCTTATACAGCAGAAATACAATAATCTCCGGCGATAAGGGGGGGACCATATGTTATGTAAAATGAATTGCGCCAACGCGGCATTTAAAGGGATTAATCTGCGAAGATGTTACTGCTTACAGGGGAAGTGTAACTCTTGACTACGCGATTCTATTTTACAATAAATTAACATATTACTCAAATCTGGCAGATGGGTCTATGTTAAAGGATTTTTTTTATATCCAAGTAAAATAAAAAAAATACTGAATTATCTTCTACTGAACAAATCAAGCACAGCTAGTCTGTGTAAATACAAAAAAATAAAATAAAATAAAAATATTACCTCCGTGTTTCCCTGCAGTTCTACCCCTGCGGCTTCACGTGAGCCCTCTGCCCACTGCTCTGGGTCGCTGTTTGCGGTCCAAGAAGCGCCAACAAATCCGATTATAGGGTCGTTAAATTATTGTATTTCTGCTGCATTATTGCTGTCATACCTTTATTTAATTTGTGTTCGTCGATGTATTTAAACACGATATCAGTGTGTGGTTGTATGCTTGCGTTTTGTGTGCATTCGTCAAAATGGAAGGGGATATAAAGCAAACGGTAGATAAAGTTCCCGTGGCTTTAATGTCGAGCAACTCGAAAATAACTCAAAGACGGACGTTCTTGAGAAGAGTTTCAAGCTATATTAATAGTAAATGTGCAGCTTTAGGTGGCAGGGTGTCACAGTGGTAACACTTGTGCCTCACAGCAAGGGATCATGTGTGTGTGTGTGTGGAGTCTGTTAGTTCTTCCCCTGTTGTGCATGGATTTCATCCAGGTTCTCCGGTTTCCTCCCATCGATAAAATATACAATGGCATTGGTGTCAGCTAAATATCATAACACAGGATCCCCCAGAAAATGAGTCTTCAGACTCGGTGAGGATATCTTGGGTGAATAAGTGATCATTATGATTGTATACATTTGCTTGCTAATTGGTGAAAGAGCCTCCACAAGAGGGTATTTTTTGTTACTCTTCCTTGCTAGCCAGATATCTTGTAATATGTTTGGGAGTTACCACACTTTGCCCCACAGCATGCGCCCTGCGGACTCATTGAGGTGTGTACCCATTCATATTGCTGAGTGGATAGAGGTGGAGGGGGGAAGAAAAAAAAATCTCAATTGAATTGGCAATTAAGCAGACATTTAAATCACTATCATATCGAAACAACTGAAACATTGTTTCAGCAGCTGCTCCAGGAGATCGAACCCAGCGTCCTCTGGATTGGAAGTCCGTCGTGATAAAAATGACACCGTAGCAGCATTCTTCACCTGTGATGGTAAATCGTTTTGATGAATGTAAACATTTCACGGGCAGACGAAATGTTCGGCCCATCTCTTCATGGAGAATGTCACATCGCGGCATTTTGTTTTTGTGCGTGTGCGTATGTGCGCGTTTACTAGTTTCTGGAACTCTGTCCCGGGCTGAAAAAAACCGAGAAAAGGCGCACCATTCCAAACAGGCGAGCCTGCCTGAGAGCGCGCTCACGGTGATATCGGGCAAGGAGACCGCGGTGTACCCAGCTGCCTCCAAGAAGAACAGGCAGAGGCGGCATCGGGAAGGCACCGGCTCCGCTCGCAGCATCTGGCGTCACATCCACAGGTATCCAGCGGACAAGGACGTGTCGTCAGGGGGAGAGGTGCAACTTTCCCAGATGCCCACGGCAGATCCGCAGTGCGGCGGCGGCAGCAGCGGCGGCGGCGGCGGCGGCGGCGGCGCGACTTTCATGCAGCAGCATTTGCAGCCTGGCCAGCAACACACGTCCACCTCGCCCATGGATCGATCCACGCACCAGCAAATGCTGACCGTCGAGGCGGAATCCATCGCTCACTCGCCAGATGTGAGTGATCGTTTACATTCTCACGTTCTTTCTCTCCCAATCTTCCGTGAACCTCACGCGTTGAATCGCACGCCCATGTTGAGGACTCGCTCGACTCGACCGACTGTCGTCTCATGCTGCACACTGCTTGACTTTCTAATTCCCCCCCCCCGTCGTCTCTTTTCCCAAGCTCTTATAACGTTGCCAAGTGCAAGAAACGTGTGTTAACCCCTTACCTGTTGCGGCCTTTGACAGTGCTGTTTGTTGCTTGATTGTTTGTGCCTTTGGGCCTGTGCTCAGCGACTATGCGAATTTAGTTTTAGGTTTCATTCAGTGTTTTTTTTTATATTGAATAATACACACCCACTGCACCAATGCCATTGCAGACCAGATTTAACCTGCATCAACATTGTAAATAATGCAGTCCAAACTAGAAATAAGTCACTTAAAAATGCATTGCATCCACATATCTAATGCACATTCATTTCTCTCATGAAGCATTAGCTTGCGGCAGACTTTACCTCAAAGGCCCTTCTGCTGCTCACTAATTGCACAGATTGAAAAAGAAAACATTGCTTTCATAATACCAAACAAACCTGCTTATTGTGCAGGAATTCCTAATAATTTAATTCCCTGCTGTTGCTGATATGTTTTTTTTTTCTAGTGTAGCATTGCGCACTTTTAGTCTTGGGAAAGGAGGCGGTTTAGCAAATTTAATTTGAAATTAAATTTTTACAAAATATTTTAATTGCCACCTTTCATACGTGCACTTTGAGTTGTTTAATACATACAGTGAGGGAAACAAGTATTTGATCCCCTGCTGATTTTGTACGTTTGCCCACTGACAAAGAAATTATCAGTCTATAATTTTAATGGTAGGTTTATTTGAAAAGTGAGAGACAGAATAACAACAACAAAATCCAGAAAAATGCATGTCAAAAATGTTATAAATTGATTTGCATTTTAATGAGGGAAATAAGTATTTGACCCCTCTGCATAACATGACTTAGTACTTGGTGGCAAAACCCTTGTTGGCAATCACAGAGGTCAGACGTTTCTTGTAGTTGGCCACCAGTTTTGCATACATCTCAGGAGGAATTTTGTCCCACTCCTCTTTGCAGATCTTCTCCAAGTCATTAAGGTTGCGAGGCTGACGTTTGGCAACTCGAACCTTCAGCTCCCTCCACGGATTTTCTATGGAATTAAGGTCTGGAGACTGGCTAGGCCACTCCAGGACCTGAATGTGCTTCTTCTTGAGCCACTCCTTTGTTGCCTTGGCCGTGTGTTTTGGGTCATTGTCATGCTGGAATACCCATCCACGATCCATTTTCAATGCTCTAGCTGAGGGAAGGAGGTTCTTTGACCCCCTCTCAATCAGAAAGATTTCTGGCTCCCAGGTGTCTTTTATACAGGCAACTAGCTGAGATTAGGAGCACACTCTTAAAGGGAGTGCTCCTAATCTCAGCTTGTTACCTGTATAAAAGGCACCTGTCCACAGAAGCAATCAATCAGATTCCAAACTCTCCACCATGGCCAAGACCAAAGAGCTCTCCAAGGATGTCAGGGACAAGATTGTAGACCTACACAAGGCTGGAATGGGCTACAAGACCATTGCCAAGCAGCTTGGTGAGAAGGTGACAACAGTTGGTTCGATTATTCGCAAATGGAAGAAACACAAAAGAACTGTTAATCTCCCTCGGCCTGGGGCTTCATGCAAGATCTCACCTCGTGGAGTTGCAATGATCATGAGAACGGTGAGGAATCAGCCCAGAACTACACAGGAGGATCTTGTCAATGATCTCAAGGCAGCTGGGACCATAGTCACCAAGAAAACAATTGGTAACACACTACGCCGTGAAGGACTGAAATCCTGCAGTGCCCGCAAGGTCCCCCTGCTCAAGAAAGCACATATACATGCCCGTCTGAAGTTTGCCAATGAACATCTGAATGATTCAGAGGACAACTGGGTGAAAATGTTGTGGTCAGATGAGACCAAAATGGAGCTCTTTGGCATCAACTCAACTCGCCGTGTTTGGAGGAGTAGAAATGCTGCCTATGACCCCAAGAACACCATCCCCACCGTCAAACATGGAGGTGGAAACATTATGCTTTGGGGGTGTTTTTCTGCTCAGGGGACAGGACAACTTCACCGCATCAAAGGGACGATGGACGGAGCCATGTACTGTCAAATCTTGGGTGAGAACCTCCTTCCCTCAGCCAGGGCATTGAAAATGGGTCGTGGATGGGTATTCCAGCATGACAATGACCCAAAACACACGGCCAAGGCAACAAAGGAGTGGTTCAAGAAGAAGCACATTAAGGTCCTGGAGTGGCCTAGCCAGTCTCCAGACCTTAATCCCATAGAAAATAATGTGGAGGGAGCTGAAGGTTCGAGTTGCCAAACGTCAGCCTCGAAACCTTAATGACTTGGAGAAGATCTGCAAAGAGGAGTGGGACAACATCCCTCCTGAGATGTGTGCAAACCTGGTGGCCAAGTACAATAAACGTCTGACCTCTGTGATTGCCACAAGGGTTTTGCCACCAAGTACCAAGTCATGTTTTGCAGAGGGGTCAAATACTTATTTCCCTCATTAAAATGCAAATCAATGTATAACATTTTTGACATGCGTTTTTCTGGATTTTGTTGTTGTTATTCTGTCTCTCACTGTTCAAATAAACCTACCATTAAAATTGTAGACTGATCATTTATTTGTCAGTGGGCAAACGTACAAAATCAGCAGGGGATCAAATACCTTTTTCCCTCACTGTATACAGTATCCCTAAACACTTATTGGTTGATAACAGGGCTGTAAAACCTTTAAAATGCATAGTAATTGAAATGGCTTGAAGCTAATTATAATTAAAACGGCACTTCAATGTGCAGTTGTGAAACTACGGAAGATATAATATGATATTGGATAATCACAGCCTTAACTCGTTTGTGCCAATTTTTTTCGTCTTTTATATTGTCTTTTCTTCTCTAGAGACAAAAAAGTAAATATTCTGAAATCGACATTCAGGTAAGCCAAATATTAACCATTTTGACGGCGGTTTTCCCGAATTGTGTGACATAAACGATTTCTACGTTGTGCATATATTTGTAATCCTCCGTTGTCGTTCTTGTTGTTTCTGCTGCTGCTGCACAGAGGATCATGCACACACGCCAACGACACAGCGAGATGTTCCAGGAGATGAATCAAAAATTCCAGTCCCTGGAGAGGAAACGCAAGAATCCTGACGACAGCATTGACGTAAGAACAAGACACACGTGCGAAGTTTGTTGGATTGATATTTTCTCACCTTCCCCCCCCCCCCCCCGCTGTATTTCAATTGGGCTATTGACACCACCCCACAACGCGGAAATCTCACGGAGCAATTGTGCCCCTCACGTCGTTGAATGGCTGCGGAACATTTTTTTTCCACGCAACTACAACCAAAGAATATTTCCAGCAGCTTTGTTATTGCTTCACACAGGATAGGTCGCACTTTGCCGCATGCTCTGCTGTACGATTGTAGCGTAACGGTCAAACTGATGTGTTCGAGTCTTAGAGCAGGAATGTATGCACAATTAAGTGTGAAACAAGTATCATGCAATGGTTATTTTTGCGCAGCCATTGGTGATGAAGATGTTGAGACCATCAAATCGCTAGACCTGAGAACTCGGCTTACTCACAAGTTGCTGCCAGATCGACAAAATTGTTGTCCTTCATTTGCTAAGTGCTGTTATTTCTAATGCAGAGCTTGTCTACAAACTGGCTGTTGTGATTGGAGCGGGAGCACACATTTCTCTTTTGGCTCCATGTTTTATCACGGAATTTGTGCTTAAATTTATCAGGCTCAATCATGGTTTTTCATAGTTTATATCTGGTGCTGCTGTGAGTTAAATATTACTGTTGCACATTTTGTTTAGGACACGGTTCCATATTACATTTTTGGCCTAATTATTTCGAGTGGGCCAACTCACAGTGACTTCATGGGCCACAATTTTGAAAAACCGATAACTGCTCATTGTGCAATGTGGATTGAATTGTTAATAGTAGCGGTATATAATTGGAAGTCAAATGCAAACAATATAGCTTGACCACTTCATTTATTCAACTTCATAAAAAGAATTACTCACCGATACAATATATTCTGGGGTGTGTGTATGCTGTTAATGTGACCATGTAGCGATGTATTGTAATAATTTGAAACATTAAAGTTAAATGTAATAACACTCCTCTTATCTATAATGAGGGTGGATGGGATGAGGTGACAGATAAGTTAATTTTAAAATATAACGAGCGTGCCCTTGGATCACGTAAAATGATCTAAGGATCGCGTTAAGCTAGCTGCAGTCTCTCTAGGTTACTCCGTTTTGCATTGTGCGCATGTTGTAGTAAAAGGCATCGCGATTTGGGTGTGACAGAATATATTTTTTTTCCTTGGCCTGCTGTAGGCTGCATGTGAGGAGTTGCCTTACATTTACACATGTTCCCTAACTCTACTCATCTTCCCTCGCTATTCAACGTCTTAAAACGTGATCCTAATGAAATGATGCTTAACATATCCAGGTGCATTGTTTTGACTCCCCTAATAGTGTGTCAGTGATGAGAGTGTACCGCCACCGGTCCAGGCTTGTATGTCCCAAGATCTCGTTAGAAATAGAAATTTGTGCTAAACGCACCTCCGATACGCAGTGGCTTTTCGTCCCGCCATGGACATTGAATGCGTCTTCACCTCATGCTGGCAGTGGTCTTTGCCTCTGGAGATTGTCGGGCAGAGCATTTCACACAACGTGCAACTGGGCCCGCAATCTGGAAAGTGCGTTCGGTGTACGGTGTTATTGTTGCTGTAAGGTTCCCCGTCAGGCCACATTTAAATTTTGATGAGTCGTGACATTTAAATATTGCCCCGTCACCCTCATGGACACACATGAAGAGGATGAGGTGAGTGACCCTTCAGTGCCAGATACTATTGCTCCGGTAACAGTGTTTGTTTAATGTGTGCCAGCCGAGAGAAACAGATTAAAGGTCAGTGGGTAATTGCTTTGCTCCGCAAAGCCAGGAAGTTGAGTAATTAATTGTCTCCTCTAGCTTATCTCTGGAGAGAGGAGGCGAGAAAACTGTAGTCGACAATTAAAATGAAAGTGGCCAATCAAGTTCAATCGCATTTGTTATTTATGTGGCCGGGTGGCTCAGCGGTAGCGTGAGCGGTTCGCAATTGGAAGATGCTAGTTCAAATCCTGGTTGGTGGGTCACTCAGCCATCTCTCTCTGGGGTCGATAAAATAGTTGCCACTTTGTGAGAAAGTCAACAGTGGTCGTCCTATGCGTAGACTTGTCTCTGGCCACAGACAGTTCTTTCAGGAACTGCTGATGATGTCCGTGCATGTGTAGTGGTCGACTTCACGCGGACAACTTTATTGTTTTCTCCGACACCACTTTTATTACAACTCTTCACATTACGTCTGCGACTTCGTCATTCCGCCTAGCCGCAGCTCGCTCGCCGTGCTCCGCCCGTCTCGCTCACTCCGCTTCCTCCCCCATCCCTCACTGTCCCTCTGCGTCGTCTCTGTCTCTCTCCGTCACTCACTGTCTCTGTCTTTCTCCGTCGCTCGCTGTCTCTGTCTCTCTCCGTCACTCACTGTCTCTGTCTTTCTCCGTCGCTCGCTGTCTCTGTCTCTCTCTCCGTCGCTCGCTGTCTCTGTCTCTCTCTCCGTCACTCGCTGTCTCTGTCTCTCTCCGTCACTCGCTGTCTCTGTCTCTCTCAGTCACTCGCTGTCTCTGTCTCTCTCCGTCGCTCGCTGTCTCTGTCTCTCTCAGTCACTCGCTGTCTCTGTCTCTCTCTCCGTCGCTCGCTGTCTCTGTCTCTCTCTCCGTCACTCGCTGTCTCTGTCTCTCTCCGTCACTCGCTGTCTCTGTCTCTCTCAGTCACTCGCTGTCTCTGTCTCTCTCTCTCCGTCACTCGCTGTCTCTGTCTTTCTCCGTCGCTCGCTGTCTCTGTCTCTCTCTCCGTCACTCGCTGTCTCTGTCTCTCTCTTAGTCACTCGCTGTCTCTGTCTCTCTTAGTCGCTCGCTGTCTCTGTCTCTCTCCGTCGCTCGCTGTCTCTGTCTCTCTCCGTCACTCGCTGTCTCACGCTGTATCTCTGTCTCTCTCTCGCTGTCTCTGTATCTCGCTCTGTCTCTGTCCCACGCTGTCTCTCTGCTTGTCTCTACTTGTCTCTACTTGTCACCACTTGTCTCTGCTTGTCTCTACTCTACTGCTAGCCTGTTCTGTCTCCTATATCTTTTCTCCGGTTCTCCCCGACTTGCTTCGTTCCAGTCCCAGCAACAACTCCCCTCGTTCTCCCCGTCTCCCGAATATATCCCCGTTCTCATTAACAACCAATTAATTAGGCCGTGTGCCCCCGCACCTGTTACTGGCCCCCCTCTATCACCAGACATTCCAGCGCCACTCCGCCCTTGACAATAATCCCGGCCGATCACTGCCGTACATCGCTCACCAACTTAATGTGCCCGTCATTGCTTCACAGCTCCCCGCTGCCGCACCTGGCCGGCCCGACGTGACCCCACCGTCCATAGGCAGTCCTTTCAGGAACTGCTGATGATGTCCGTGCATGCACAAAGATATTGTGCCCTTTAGAAATGTTTGTTGTCTTGTTAGAAGGTGATATCATGATATGAGCTACAGTACATCCTATTAACCTGCTGTCCACACGAATGAGAGTGCACTTGCCTCGCACACTGATGTAGATGCAAACTGAATCAAAATTTTACTTTGTAAATCTCAAAACTGGAAAACTTTTATTTTTTGTTCCAAATTAAGTGAAAATATGAATTGAATCATGGCTGGCAGAACATCTTTGAACACATAATCTCAGTGCTGTTGTCTCAATGCTTTGTTACCCTGGTCAGAATTACAGTTCACGTAATCGTGTTTCCCTTGACAATATAACTTCCTCTAATGAAATAACTCAATCATAATTGAAGTGGATTGTCGATTGATGCATTGTCGTGCTCTCTGTTCCATTGCAGGTCGTATAGCGCGAACCAAGTTGAACAAGTCATCGTTCGTGAAATGGCAAATGGATTCACTGTTTAAGAGGCACAAGGATATAAACGTTGAGTCACCATTGAACTGCAGACATTTACGCATCCTTTTATGTCCATCAAAAAAAAATAAACACTTCTTCTTCTGCACCGAGTTTTTGCTTGGGGGTATTGTGTGATCGCAAGAGAATGAGCATGGCAGCAATGAGAAGTAAGGTAGCAATGTTGACGAGGTTGTTCTACAATTCTCCCTTTTACAACGATGTATAAAGTAATGTATTATATGTTGATGGCCATTGCTTGAATAACAAGGCTTCATGTTGTACATGACACACTATAATGTAACCTCTGAACTACAAACTGGATTTCTTGGCTTTCAGAGACTAGATTCAAGAGGTGAGAAGAGAGGAAGCCACATTTGCGCATTAAACACTCGCCTCTGCCCCATATATATACGATATGAATATGGAAAACACCAGCTGAAATTAACCAAGTTGGTCCCCGGTTCGGTATATATGTGAATGCTTTAGCTACGTTATATTTTGTTTTAAAAAATATAACTTGAGCATTGTGTCATTATTTTGGCTGAAAATAAAGGCAAAAGGGCTCCGTGTAGGTCATTGTCGAAGGTAGTGACACAGTTGTGTTTTACCTCGTATTTATTTGTGCGTTTTGGTTCCCTTATTCATTTCAAAATATGAATGTTACTATTGCTTTGCAGCTTTAGCTTTAGATGTCTTTTTTGTTGTTCAATCGAACACGAAGCTACATATTCACAAATGAGTTTAAACACATTTTTTACGAGAAATTCAATTTTCTTTGGGGGAGAAAAATACTAATTGATTAAAGCTGTGGTTTGCACGGGGCTCTTGGCTTGTCTGTGAATAGAGAGGAGTTTTATTTTTTTTCTCGTTGCATGCTCAAGGAGTTGTGTTTTTGGACAATGATAAATCTCTAGTATGCTGTTGGGAGACTGTACACATCTCTACTTTGCTGTGTAATCTGTGGTCGTAGACATACATTTGCTTCATTTTAAGCGGAATGGTTTTTACTTTGTGCTGTAATTGCATTTTTGGGTTTTGTGTAGTTGGGCAATTAGTGAATCTCAATCGACTTCAAAAGAAAGCTATGCAATTTTAAGAGTTACTTTCAAATTATATTAAATTAACTGTATACTGCATTGTAATTACATCATTTTCCACTTAAAATGAAGTGAGAGATACAAATAAAATAAACTCAAATTTTTCATATAATTTTGTTGTCATGTTATTATAAACAAATTAATTTCACAGATGGATAATTGGGGGCCTTTTCAAATGGTATAATGGCTTTGCTATATTATTCGGTAAGGCTGTGCAAATGCACGACATGGAACATAAAGTTACAAAAAGATGCCTCGTTTTTACATTTAAGTTCGGTAACTTTTGCAGGCATAGCGCCAGATTACCCTCCTTAAAAACGTGGGTGAAACATTGTTTTGGCAATTTGGCTCATTCTTGACAATGGTGACATCAACACAGTACTAAATAAATGATGGCTATTTGTTAGTTTTTTTTAAGACCGCAATTTGGCCCCTAAAACTCACGCAGAGACCATAAATTTCTGCACAGCTGCTTTTTTATAAGTTCATGTAAAATGATCAAATATTTAGGCTGTACTAATATTCCAGAAAATTTATTTTTAAGTGGGTCCAGAGTAAGCAGGCTGCCTTTCAGCATGGATGCAATTTTCATCTGTAAAATACACACACAAATTTGCTTAGGGGTTTAAGGACACACATTTTCTAAATTGAAAACTCATTTCTTTAGAACTGCTTTTTGTGTTTTGTGTGTTGTCTTTCCCCCGCACCTCAAACGAGCACGGTTGGCTACGTACGGTGCGAAAGAAGTTCAACATACCTAATGAGCTGTTTCCCGCTTAGTCGGTGAATGTGTGAAAGTGGGTTAGGGTAGGCACGTTAATGCCTAGAGGAGTACTTGCTCGTTGAAGATCACAGGACAGACCCAACAGTTATGATTAAACACACGAGGGAGATTGCCAGGTCTCCTACTGTGCCTCTGCCAACCTCACCAAGCTTGCCCATTATTATCAGGATGACTCCCACCTCAAGTTGTTTCAAGGAAGCTGCTGCCAGCTGTCCAGTACAGTTGTGTCATTCCTGAGCCTTCTCCACAGAGACTTCTCTTGACACTACTGGAAGTAGTCCGTTCTAGGTCCTCAGCTCTAGGTCCTCCTGTATGACATCAGATGTCCTCCTCCCTAGCCTGTTTTGCCCACAGTGGCCTTGTCCGCTAGAGGAGCCTCCTCATAGAATATCATCCAGATGTCTGCTAACGGTGAACACCTCATAACTCAACATGGATGAGATAAACGGCAGGCGTGCCAGTATTAATTGTCTAGCTGGTGCAGGTGAGCCACATTTTGCCAGGACATCGGCGAGACAGCATGATCATGGCCAAACAACAAAAACATGGAGCAGGATGTGACTGAAAGTTGTCAAATGTGTAATTGCAGAGTTGCACCGTTGCTGATGATGATGATGCAGTCAGTCTGCTTTAGATTGAGACTTCCACATGGTAACGCCGCTCAGCCGAGGAAAGTCTTCCACGCTTCCGCCAACCGCCCCGTCACTCGTTTGATGGCATGGAGTGTTTAGCGATGGAGTACATGGATGTATTTGTTTTAGTAAGTGCTGATGTTAAGCCCTCTTCATGGAAGATTGATTGATTGGGGTGGGTTATTGCGTTAGCGTAATAGGTAAAAATCTCCAGGTCAACTTATCCCAAAATAACCGTTTTTATATACTGTATTGCTCTGATATTCTCCATATCTGCATTGTATGGAAATCCCTTTGATGCAATCAAGGTGTGTACTACCTCCGAACTCAGAGGAGGAATCCGCAAGCTACTTACAGAGAAGGGATAAAACCTCCACCCTTCCAGTTTCCTAAACCATCCCAAGGTGGCATGTGGATAAGGGCAGTTCCTGCTTCTCATTGAACTTTATCTGTAAACCTGACCCTGGGGGTCAGATTGGATCATCAGTCTTCCTCTTCATGATGATCAGATAGGATGATGGTAGTGGTTATTTTTTGTTGTATGTTGAACTACTTTCGCACCGTACATAGCCATCCGTGCTAATCAGAGGTGCGGGGGGAAGGATAACAAAAGGAAGGACAACTCTATGCAAGGTTTCCTTCGCTTTATGCGGTAGATGCATTCCAAAAAAAGGACACAGAGTAACCGGACGAGACGGCTGCCTGCTGAGTAGTACTTTCATATGATGTAATGAATCCCACGACAGAATAAATAATAAATTACGTACAATGTTCAGGCCCATTTACAGTGATAACCACTGCTCTCCACATGTGTAGTGACTGAATTAGAGACACTAAGAGTTGGAGGCACTCTGTTTATTAACACGCACCAACGGGTTAACACTTCCAAATAATCCGTCTATAGTCGACTATGGTTCCTAGTCAGGACAGTGGGTAGACTGCCTGATTGGCGACACCAAGATGGTGAAGACGGAGACGATGAGAAGAACGGCGAAAGACTCCAGCAGCAGCATGACGGGATCCCACTCCAAACGACAGCCCCGAGGTCCCCCCTCGGGGCCCCTCTTTTACTGTCAGCGTGGCCTGGCTCCGCCCCCGGCCACACCCTCTTTCTAGAACCTACTCGCAGGTTCCTGGTGTGTCCCTTCCGTGACCTTTCCCCTAGATCCCCCTCTGGTGTATCACGTGGCCTGCTGCTGTCAGGGCTGCTGCAAGCTGCAAATCACCTTCCCCGCCAGCATTAGCACTACGCTGCTACATAGATAATTCTATGTCACTACATCATAGACTGATACACTACACGCACCAAACAAAGATCCACCATATAGCCTTAACAGACTTTTGGGGCAAGTCCAATGGGAATGGAACTTGGGTATTCAGGTTCATCGCACAGTGTACTAACCACTGTGTCGCCACTCCACCCTTTCAGAACGCACAGTGACCAGTGTGGTAAAGTATGGTTAAGCAACCCCCGATAACCTCATGAAGAAGGGCCATTTCCCATAACCTCACCAATTATATATTTGCTTTTATCTTAAGGAATTACTGTTGAAGAGTGTGCTTGTGTTTTTGTTGTTGAATGTACTTGTGCACCACTGCTAACGCAGTTCTGTTCAGTTTATTTTGAAGTACCCCGTGAGGTAAGAGGCTTTTGTATTGGGTTTCATCAACAAAGAATGGGTTCCCATTCACAACAGGCTGCAAGAAAAATAAAAATAATGAAAGAAAATAGCAACATATCACATGATGTGGAGTATATTACAAAATGATCTTTTAAATATTTTACTATAGTGAGTACAGTATTATGATTAATGCAGCATCACCAAACAGTTTGTTCCAGTGGCTTGACAACAATGGCTCTATTGTAATAAATTAATTATAATTTCTTATGATCTGCATGTGTATTTAACCACGTGAGCTCCCATTTTGAGTCATCTTCACGCACATTGATATTCACTGCAGCGTACCTTTACGTACTTATTTAACCACGACAAAGCCAATTGAGCGTCATTTGAGTAATTAATTACTTTTGCTGTGTGAGAATTCATTGACAATTATGCATAATGTAGTACTTTAGCGTTGTGAAAGCCCAACGAGTAATTATTTCTTAATGCCTTTTATTTAACCATGACCGCCCATCCCAATGTATCGTGCTTCTAATAAGTGTAACCTCGTCGGGTAAGCATGTTCAATTAATTATTTTTTTTGGCGTGCGTCTTTCTTTTACGTTAAAGTTGGCAACCCCAGGACTGGCAATAATCCTACAGCCACTAACCGTAGTCTTAACACTAACTCCAGCCTTAGCCTGACCTCTAACACCACCACATTCCTCGTCCTAACATCGAACACCAACCCTGCTCTGCTTGACTTCAGTGCCTGCCGTGGCGAATGCGTCGACTCCCTGGCCTGGGCCCACTCGGGCCGGCCCCCTGCACTGCGTGGGGGCCTCCGTGGGTTTCCCCCGACAGCGGCCCAAGGCCTACGAGGTCTCGCCTCGCCCCCCCCCCCCCCCGAATCTACAATCGCGGTCGTCGCCTTAGAAGCCGCCACTGCCAATTGCCGCCTGCCTTCACATCGCACGTCAGAGAGCTGGAGACAGAAAAAGATCCTGGACGAAAAAAAGCGAGTCCTACGACTTGAGTGTGTCTCTCCTGCATGCAATGATTGTAGTGTATTGAAAGCAAAACCCCAAAGGACGTCAACATATACTTCAGTGTTGTTGTAGCGAAGTTTTAGTGCACAGGCCGGTCCAGATGTCTTGTGACCCCACAATTATTTGACCCTGAACTCCCCCTCCCTACCTACCCCCTTTGCGTATTCGTTTTTGTTTTCACATGCATTGGTATCCAAAAGAACATAACGTTTTAGAGCATTGAATGGGGGTGACGAGACATCTGAACCACCGTGGTGTACATTGTTGTTTCCGATTCAAAATATCGCCGCGTTTTATTTTTTTAAACACTTTGGATGTCCCATCCCGAGCTGCGTTCAACACGCGTGACGCTGTGGCTCTGGCCGCGCGGCACCCGAAGGTCACCCCCCGGCGGTGCTGTGGCGTCTCGCCTGCCCACTTCACGAGCGAGCGTGCGGTCAAACAGCTGGGGCAGCCGCAGCTGACGATAGAGAAGTCTGCAGGGTATAGCCGCAACGCGGTGGTCACAAAGCACACACCGCCACGTACTGGAGAATTACTTAAACCAGCCTAGCTTACATTCATGGGACATGCATACGAATCATTTGACTCGCATGCAGTTGCAAAGGATACAGCAATTGCAACAAAAACCTACAATTCAATGATCTGCGAATCCCTGTAGTTTGGAGATCATTGGTGGTTCGTGACTGCTCCCGTAATCCACAGCGGATTGGAAACTTTTCTCCAACTACAAACCGAGATCCGTATAAGTGTTGGTGGTGGGGGGTGAGCGTGGATCTGCAGGAGCGGAGCTGCAGGGAAAAATACGGAAGGTTGTTTTTCAATGTTTTTAAGTTCACACTTGGAAATCAAGTCTTACAACAACAACAACAACCCATCATCAGATCCACATGGTACATTTGCACCATTTAAGTCTTTTAAAAAAAAATGTATTGTCATCCCGTGACCCATGAATTTATTGTGGATTAATTTCGCCGCTATTCACGCTTCCCGCTTCTCCTGTAACCCACAACGTCTTCACGGACTCACGGAAACTCG